GCTCTTTCACGTCTGTCCTCAGGCAAGTAAAGTGTTGTTTATTCTCGATATCTGGGACTCTTTTTTAACTCGTTCTCGGACGTAGTCGAAACCCCACAGGGCTTCCTTCACCTCCCATCTCTGTAGTCTCACGTGTCCACCAGATTTACTTATCGGCGCGCACTTTGAGTTTCTCTTGACATCTGATAATTTCTCCGGCTGGATTATGTTCGGGGCCCACAGGAACACTTCGAGATTCAAGAGTTTTCACATTTCTGCCGGACGACTTCGGTTATTTCGGAAGTTTGAAATGAATAAAAACAGTCTGCCATCAGTGTACAGTACTCGTTCACTATTGCACCGCGTCCAGGCAATTGGACCACGCAATCGAGTCTCAGATACGCTAAGTTTGCCAACTTGTGCATTCTGATTTCCAGGAGCTACAACAATATCTTAGCTGTCCGCGAAAGGACATTCACGTCTTTGATGATGTCAGAGCTGAAGTCGGTTGAGGAGTAAACAGACACGACCCTACCTCTGCTTCTCGACTTTTCTTGTTTAGGCTTGGGTAACCTGGCAGTATCCCGGCCCTTGTGCTTCCTTCGGGTGGTATGGCAGTAAGGTACCGGAAGGGTGTTACAGCTGAACGATTTTTTTAGACACGACAGACAGACAGACGGTGATCAGTTTTCCACCTATGAGACACCACGGACGATACCAGGCGAACCGCTTACATCATCATCATCATTGTCAGCTGTAATAACCGCATACTCGTCGTACAGTGGTTGCAGCTGCCGCAGTTTCGTTCACCGATGATTTGGGGGAGGGGGTAGGTAGCTGCGCATTTCAGGCGCGAGCTGGTAAGTTGGTGCATAAATCCAGCACTGTCAGTGGGCTGTTAAGTGGGGGGGGGGGGTGGAAAAGGAGCTATGCATTGAAGGCAATAGCTTTGATGCACGAGCGCCATTGAGGGCGCGACTGGGCCATGTCTGACAGGCAGAAGTAAGTGGAGTGGCAGTTAGCTCAGTTTCCGTGCTTGCAACTTGAATTCTTGTTTCTGATACGCTGTACACATCAGTGTTAAGTGAGTTCAGTGTGTGAAATGCGTGGGGCTGTCGACGTCGGCTGACGCGCAGATGTTGCGGCCAAAACCGATGCAAGAAGGTCGTCAGTCCTAACTAACGAGTCCACAAGGAAAGAGTTAATAACGGGATGGGAGGTGTGGGGGAAAAGGCTACCTGGCGGCTGACATCACGCGGCGGTCGATTTGGTACTGCAGTTTTGAGTCGTAAGAATCACTATTGTACTTACAGTTTGTACTGTTTTTTTTGGCTTTTCAGCATATATTGACCTCAGTTGCAGGAGAAAATCTGTATTAAAACTTCCAAACCTCCTCACAGTACTTACATAGATGTCATACCATTTCTTGCCATCAAAAGGATCGTCTCTCTTGATTTCCTTCGGGGTATGAGAAAGCCGGTCTCCATAGAGGCTTGTGAACGTACTCCCGCACCTGTAATGCCTAGTTGGATCGTTCATGAGACGTGCAGTTTTGCGGCGATGCGTCTGATAGTTACACTGCCGCGGTGTGACCATCTGCCATACTGTCTTCGAATCCGCTGTGGAATTTTATAGTTAATTCAGGTCAGCTGTACACTTCGTGTCCAGTTATGAGACGATGTGAGCACACACTTGAAGTAGCTTCATCGCATGTTACATTGAGAGGCCTACTTCGAAGGTCTTATACATAACAAACATTTTAAAAATCGAGCTTCGGTCTTTGTTGATACGCCCATAGGATAATGGAAAGCTATTCATGGTCTTCTGGAATACTGTGTTTCTTCAACGAGCTAGTATCCAAGGCCTATTGTTTCGGGGATTCCAGTAATATCACTCTGATAGATATACATAATGATATATCGGCTGTAAGAACCGCGTACTTGTCGTACAGTGGTTGTAGCTGTCACAATTCCGTCCATCCCGTGATTTGGGGATGTAGGGCAGGTAGCTGCGCATTGGAGGTGGGAGCTGATAAATTGGTGCGTAAATGTAGGTCTATCAGTGGACTTTTAAGTGAGTGGATAGGGAAGAGAGCTGTGCATTGAAAGCACTAGCTTGGATGCACGGGTGTCACTGAGAGCGCGGCTTGATCGTGTCTGACGATTTCTCCAACCATTGATATGTCCCGTCTCGGGTCCCCATCCAGGTAGACGGCCATGACCAGCGCAGCTGAGTTTGCTGGTAATGTCTCTCGTATTTCACTGCCAAGTCATTGTTTGACCTCCCATGGCTCGTTTTCACCCTTCGCATGGTAGCAGCTGTAGGTCGTCTATACGGTATATTTGGATCATCTAAGCAATGTGCTCAGCGCTTAATAGGCATCTGGTTACCACTGCACGGCAAGTCTGTTTTCTTTAAGTGCGGACGATAGACCTCTGTGCAGGACAAAATAAGAGACTTGCCTTAAGTTTTAATCATTTGACCCCAACAATTAGACCAATGTCACACAAAGTACCTGCAATTTGTTGCTCTTCTCCGGTTTACAGATTAGCTTAGAAAGTTCCCGCCCGTTTTTTTGTTCGCACACAATAGACGGGAAAAGTTTATCGCCAAACCAGCGCAGTTTGTGAAGTATGATCAGTACACCATTCGGCGTATTTCGGCATTACTGACCGGTGTTCTAGACTCGGGTCGTCATCATCATTGACAACATGACATCAGTGTTCAACACCGATGCTTCACTGCCGCACAACCATGATTTATTTGAAAGCCTTATTGTAAAGATAAGAATAAAGTTGGACCGGGGGTAATGCTTTGAAGACATCGATGGTCAAAAACTGGAACTCTTTTGAAGTCCTCGGCGCGCAGCGGCCAGGTTTCTGGCCGTATAGTAGTATGGAGCACACCGCAGCATTTAAAACTCCATCGTTGATGTATAAGCGAACGTCACACCTACGTCACAGGTGATGCAGGTTCACGAAAGCTGCTCTGGCATTCCTAATCCGGATGGAAATATCTCTCGCTAGACCACTGGGCGTGCTACAGCTGTAAGCGTGAGACTTTGGTTCGACCCCACCAGGTTTGAAACGCATGCTAAACTGAAGCAAAATTATTTAGATTATTTAATATTGTTTGCATTGCCACGGGGTCAGATCCAAGAAGAGCTACCTCATCTGCGAAGTCGATATCTGTGAGCAAGCGCCCCGGGAACACTTCGATCTCACAGGCATTAGAGTCTGGTAGTGAATCTTCCATAATCCTATCAGTGACAGTCGAAATGGAAGGATGAAATGGAACGGGCTTGCCTGACAGCACTTGATGTGGTGAACTCAGGCGAGAGCTTCCCATATACCTCCACATGTCCGCGGCAGTTAGCGTACAGCCCCTTTAGGTCATGAATTTATGGGGACACCTTTGCTCCACGGACAAGATGGCCCAAGTGGTTAGAGCGCGAATTTACTAACCGGAAGGTCTGTGGTTCGAACCCGACCTCTGCTTCTCGACTTCCTCTGTATAGGCTTGGGCAACCTGGCAGTATCCCTCGTCTCGTGCAACCTTCGGGTGGCATGGCAGTCAGGCACCGATAGGGTGCTACAGCTGAGATTATTCGAGTGTAATTCATGGTTGTGTGATGGTTCCCCTATGGTGGGGAAAGCATGTAGTATCGTCATTGCATCCATGTGTTATTTTGTATGAGACCCAGTTTTTGACAACGCCCTAAGTGCACAACTACCGGAGCTCCATTATCCCGTATGGAACAGAAATTACGTAATGGTTAGCACTGTGGAACCACAATGAGCGGGGGGGGGGGTGGACTTGGCGACGGCCAGTTAGATATAGCAGTAAAGGTTTTTGCAACTCCATTATGGTGCCCAGTCATCTCAGGCAGCCACAAATTAAATTCAAATGGTCGACCAGCTTGATTTTTTTGTTTCGATTTACAGATTGATGGCTTATAAGTCTACTGAGGAAATCCATACAGTTCCACAAATTGGGTTTCCTAAAATATGTCAATTGTAAAGAGTTTGTGTGGATTTACGAGGTTTGGTTGTGCTTCACATCAATTTTGAAATCCTCAATGACACTGACAAACACTTAGCTAGATTGCTAAAGACACGAAGCCAGGTGACTGCCACAGGTGACTACCCCATCTACAATTTGTGAATGATACTGCAGTGTTTCCTTTCTTTCGGAATACCAGATTTTGTCTTTCCTGATATGAGGCTAGAGACAAGTTTTCTTGTTATGTGGATATTTTTTATCTACGCTAGTTCAGTCCTTAATCTTACTGTCTCAGAACACACGTCATTTTATTTGCAGTGGTAATTTTGTTCCAGCTGAACAAAAACTTACCTTCCACGTCACAATTCAGGTGAGACAACTAATTGAAAACAACCGACTCCTGATGGTCTAGCTGATTGTGAATCTTCACCTGACGTGCACTTGTGTGTGTCAAAGTCGTTTCATGGATATTGGATTGCAACAGCAAATGAAGTCATAACATGCAGTAAAAATGGAGGTTTATGTGACACATATGCTATCAGTATGATAAGTGACATAGTGCGGAGTCACCATCGACCGAGTGATTCAAGTGCATGGCTGCATGTAGGAGGAAAATGGCGTGCGCCGTGTTGTCGGACAGTCTTTATTTGGAGGTAAACTTTGTGAATTGGAATGCGATCTTCTTGACGGATGGCCTATATTATGACGGGACACAGTAGAGAGATCACTGTACTAATGGGAGTGTCCACTCAACACTAGCAAAGTTTCTTGCACCCAGCAAACTAATGCATGCAGTTGAATAATGCGTTATCAGCTTGAAGTAAAAGTGCCCTTTCACGTGTCTTCATGCTTTTCAGTTTGTTATAATTGGTACCCGTCCACTGGGTCGTGAGTCTTTTACCGAATATAAGAGGGCTCACAAAGGTGGTTTTCTGTTGTAAAATTCCCTGTTATTTTCGTGTGCGCATCCACTTGTTTGCATAAAGGTTTGTTGATCCCACCTTTTTTCATCCTCGTAGATCTCGGTATGGAAGAACAGGGCGATGAAGAGCCAGTCCCGCTTCCCAATGTGAACGCAGGGATCTTGCGAAAGGTCATTCAGTGGTGCACCTATCACCGCGATGACCCGCCACCACAAGAAGACGATGAAAACAAAGAGCGACGAACTGATGATATCCCAAGTTGGGACCAAGAATTTTTGCGAGTTGACCAAGGGACTCTGTTTGAGCTGATGCTCGCCGCAAACTACTTGGACATCAAAGGCTTACTAGATGTTTGTTGCAAAACCGTGGCTAACATGATCAAAGGAAAAACTCCGGAAGAAATCCGCAAAACCTTTAATATCAAGTGTGATTTCACTCCACAAGAGGAGGAGCAGGTATGCAGTTAGTTTCCGTTTTTTACTTTGTCGGCCGCGACATTTTTACTTCCAAAAAATAACATTACCGGTACAGAGAATCACTTCCTCTGTTTGGCACTACGGTGGTTCATAGGTTTAATGATACCGTTGTCATTGTTTCCGACGTCCATATAAATAGGAGCATTGTATGTCTCAGAAAGAGACAGCTTCGTAAGACGTCATGGAATATGGCTAAAAGCGAGGTCATGCAAACTTTAGACAGCATAGCTCTGCATGTTTCGGATCAATGTGGTATCATGACAGCTTTCTTCCGATTATTCCAACATCATTACAAACTTTACTCAACTCATGTCTGGCTAGTCGAATTGATATACTTCTACCGTGGGCGAGATGGCGTAGTTTTAGAGCGCGAATTTACTGACCGGAAGATCCGTGGTGCGAACCCGACCTCCGTTTCTCGACTCCCCCTGTCTAGGCTTGGGCAACCTAACAGTATCCCAGCCCTCGTGCTTCCTTCAGGTGGCATGGCAGCTAGCCACTGGAAAAGTATTACAGCTGAACGATTATATATTTATTATAGGAAGAATGCTTCCTTCGGTGAAAGAACTGTATTGTATTCGTTTTAACGGTGCCGGTCCCGCATAATCCATCCTGAGGATTCCGAACTCCCCATTCTAATGGGGATGGACATTCTTGCGACCCACCAGCCTCGATTCATTGAGTTTTAGTTCAGTATGCTGAAGGTAGTGTGCATAAAATTCTTAACTTAAGGTTCATCGATTTCCCATAAGTCTTTTCCTCGCCATCCAAGTTTAGCATTTTACGTTGTCCAAAATGTCCGATCCTCGATATCCTCTGAGGAGCCTGGGTACCGTAGGCGTGACTTACCTTGAAAGAGGACCCGCGTGATTCCCCCTATGCTTAACTTGGGACGCTGCAACATCTATTTGCTAATAGGTAGTAGCGGTTTCTTTCCGGACTGAATTAGTGTTTTGAAGTGCAGGTACCTCGAAAGTATCGTAATTAGCTGGTGTCCTGTTTCCTTTTGTTCTTTGCTCACGATGGCAGTTCATGTGAATTTTGACCATACAAGTGTGGCATTGGTCTTCAATGCTGATGCGCCGTCGATGATGAGGACGTAGGATACCGCATAACAAAGAATAAATAAAGTTAAGACGAGTTTCGGTAGTCCAGATGTTACAGGTATTGACCCCTCAGTCTATTTCCATTACTCTAACGTGACTGTTCCTACAGTCACATCGTCCTTTGGTCTAGTATCCTGTTCTATTTGTTTCAAGCCAGGGTAAGAGATAGTGACGCGTATCGAGGAGAATACCGATACTCACTACTTTCCCTCCGAAACAAAACGAGCAGTTACCGCGACGCATGTGTGTCTATGATCAAGATTCCAAGTACGTCCAGAACTGCAGCAGCTAAACATTGGTTGAGCCGCTTGTTCAGTGTGCCTCCAGTCAATCCTTAAGTAACGGGAAGAGTGAGCATTTTGAGTGGTTCAGGCCAGTTGTGTTTGGCGGTTACACTAACGCCCATGTGGGTGGTAAGGCTTCATTAACGATTAAGGGAACGTTGAAGCAGAAGTCTGCGTGCACGCCGTACTGATAACGTGTCTCAGTATCAGATCAATGGAAATATACAGCATGCATTTGAAATTTTTTACCGCGTTGGTTGTAAGTTGATGGTTCGCTATAGCATTTTAGTCATTTTACTTTTCAGTCGTTCTGTGTTTGAAGAAAGTGGGTTTCAGGCGAGCATATCGGTCAAAAGACAGGATTTGCTGCTTGATTCAACAGCTGTTGGTCAACAATAGAAAAAGAATTTTCATGTCGATTGTTGAAACGAGCCCTTTGTTCCCCTCACCAGTTCTGGTGTGTTGTTCGCCATAGATGCTTGTCATGTAACTTTAATGAACGACCCGCTACTTACAGCTAAAGTTCATTATAACGCAACACTAGTGTATTTTCTGGCGCGAGCTCCCTAGTCATTATCTGATAATCCTCTCATGGTCACAACTAACCCGATGCGTTTCTTGTTTCAGGTCAAAAAAGAAAACGAATGGTGCGAGGAGAAATAGATCGGGCGCAGCAACGCTACGTTGTCCAGCTCAAATAGTTCAACCTGTGTTAGTTCTTGTTGACCAGTTGTCGTCAGCAAGCGAAACCGTCACTTCACCAATGCTGCCTGAAGCAGCAACAACAGTATATCCAGCGTTGACTGTCAGACTACATACTTCATCCGAACACGATGTAAAATATGCACAACTCACTGTTGCCACAGTGGCACGAACTCATTTTCCTGTTTGTTGACCATTCTCATTCCCGTTTCATGTGCTTCAATGAACTCTGTGCACACTGGAATGTATGCCTAGCTTGTTGCAACTCAGCCATTTACCCCTACCCCCTTGTCCTCAATAAATCTTAAGTACGAATCCGCAGCTACTAGAAGAATTGGGGGCTTGATACTTCCATTTTATCTGTCTGCGGTTTAGCTTCCCTTCACCATATCATCATACAGCACTTGAGAATTATGACACGGTTATTTGTCCTTTCTGACACCAGCTTGGGTTCTTATACACAGGTAACCGGACGTTGGTCTCATACATTATCATCGTGGCTTTTTTTCTGGTTGATCTATATACCGGTTGTCTACATTTTGTGGATCTTGTTGCCAAAGTCCCCCATCCATTGATCTATTTGCCAAAAAGGGTGTACATAAGCCCTATGTGCACGAAGATAACTTTCACATCCATGGTTTGGCCGAGATAGCACAGCGATTAAAGCGCGAATTTTCTGACCGGAAAGTTCGTAGTTCGAACCCAGGCTTTGCATGTCATCTGCTCCTGCCTGTGAGTAACCTCGCAGCATCTAAGCTCTCATGCTCCCTTGAGGTGGCACGACAGCTAGGCACCGAAGGGGTGTTACAAATGAACGATTATAATTATAATTATAATTATAATTATAATTAT